TTCAAAAATATTTCAACGCATCTTATAAATAATTAGACATATATGACATATGGAAACTCCACTACAACATCACCAAAATAACTCAATACTTTCTGATTTTATTAAAAAATTTATATTATTAAATTTTTTAATGAATTTATCATTTTAATTTTGTTTAACATTCATAAAAGCTCTTATTTCTAACAGTTTTTAATTTTTTCATAATTTAGATTCTGTTTAACATTCATAAAAGCTCTTAATTCAAACAATTTTTAATTAATATTTATTATTGTTATAAATATTCCTTTTGTAATGAATAAATTAAAACAAAGTAATAACGAAACTCAATTTTTAAATACAACTAGAACACATAAAGGGAAGAAAAAAAACATATACATTAGAATACCTAATAAAAACTAGCACTAATGAGGAAGACTATGTACGTCTTTTATGGAGTTCCACGGTTTCTAAACGTAATTTCTGTAAAAAAAATTAAAATTATTTTAGTAAATATTTTGTAATGAAAGTATGCACATAAGACTAGACTTACTTGAAATACTTGTTGTATCTTATCAGTAATTAACTTTCTTGCCACCGGTTCTGGCACACTTCTACTTTTTAGATCGCTTATGAAGTCATTTAAATCTATAGGTTGTCCTATATTGAGCGTGACTTTTTTACGCCACTTCAATACATACGGTTCAACATTTGGCAGTACTTCATCCATACCTTCATGCCACATAGGCAATATGATCGGTATGCGAGGTGATTCATATATAATACGTCCTACACCCCACTTAAGGCGCATTTCGTCTTTCGTCATATTAACTTTACCCTCTGGAAAGACATGTACCCAATGACCCAAAGCACATTTCTGTATACATAAATTGACTGCATCTTGATATACACCAATGCCGCGTACTACTGGAATGCACTTTCCTTTGGAAAAAATTTTATTTATTTTATTGTTAAAATTTATATGTATTTCTATATGTTAAAGTCATACCATACATAAAGAAATAAGAATGCAATTTGTTTGTAAAACATATGTCATGCGCCGCCATCGACCAACGTATTTTAAAAGTGTTACAAACATATTTTACTGGCAGCACACCTGCAAAAAATAATAAATATAGTAATTAAAAATATTATAATTATTATTGTGATAATTTATTTTTAATATATTGTAGTAAAATTACATACCCCAAAGTCCTGGATCATCAAAACATGAGTGATGGTTTGATACTGTGACCAGGGGCACACCTTTCGGTCTTTTCGCTACTAAGTTTATCAGTCTATCCTTGTTATACACCACTGTTCTGTTCATGAAAGCTGTAGAAAAAACAGTAACAGAAATGTATAGAGTTCTATACATTTATAAAAATTTCAAATTAACTTAAAGCAATAACTTAAATGGTAAAATGATTCTAGAATTGATGACATTTGCAATTACAAATAAATGATATGAGCATCGTGACTGATTAATCATGCGCACTGGGCTCCTAAGATATAGTGAACTGTACAAATCAAGAATTCTAATATTTATCAAGCAAGGCTTAATGCAGTTCTTTCTGGTCATTAGTGTATAGGAACCCACGCAGAGAAACTGCGCATTACTCATAATCCTCACTGCAGAAGTTGTGGAAACCCGCAGAAAGAAAAAGAAACCATAATAAATTTTCCCTGTAAATGCCCGGTTTTGGATATATCCAGAAGAAATGGATTTCTAGAAGATACTTCTTTGACAGTTTATCAGACTTTTCATCGGTAAAGAAGCGAGACCTATTCAATTATCTAAGTTCGACGGGATGGATTTAGCCTATACTCTCCTATATTAGGGGTTCTTGCGAGGAATGTAGTAGCAAATCGACGAAAAATCACTAATTGAGGTACATGGAAATTATATAATGGCCTCCCCCTGCCACCAACCAACCGACCATTTGTTTCTTTATTGGTTAGCTTGTTAATTGTAGGCCTATTATTCTAATTGTATATAAAACTATATAAAACTATTTAAAATTATAACGGCACTTAGTCGTCGAGATTGACGAGTGGCTCCGGAACGTATACCCGGCCGTTCTTGGAACTATGGATCTTTGGTCATCTTAGGCAGTTCTCTGCGTTTGTAATAAATTTCTGTTTTCGTTTAATATTGCAATGCCAAATGTTGTAAATATATATGCCAAATAAGTGCATGAGTATTAAATAAAGTAACCATTTCTTTATCGATTCTTTTAGGAACTACTATATTAAAATTACTAGAAAAGTTTTGCATTCATAAAAAATTTAATATCAAACGATTTCTCCTTACAGCCTTTATACTTAGAAATGTACGTAACCTTACAGCCTTTATAATCAGAAATGTACGTAACCCATTCAGAAAAGGTCATTGGCACTTGGTCGTATAAAGAAAGCACTGGCTTCGTGACGCAACGCCAATCGTTTCTAGAACCAGACTCTCTATAACGATATTAATTATATTCTTTACGACAGCTTACTTTGGCACACATTTATATCTAAAAAATTACGGTTAGGTCAAGTCTACCTATATGGCAGTACCTATTGGTACATATATGTAGCGAAGTTTTAAAGTTTATATTTCTTCCCCACTTCAGTTATGATTTGTCATATTGAAAAAACATAAAGAAACAAAAGCCGAATACAGCTTTTTTAATCAGTACATGTACTGTATTTGTAAAGAGTTAATATTATTATTTAAGTTTAGTTTTTACAAAAGTTAATGAAACCCTTGTATCGTATATATTTATTTGGGTTAATAACTTTTTTTTGTAACACATACCATAAAACATAAAATGCTTTTTATGACCTAATATTTGTACAATATATTAATGATAAATGAGTTATTTGGATTCATCCCAAAATTTTAATATTTTAAAACATTTTAATTACTTTCTTACTGCTTTTAAAAATGTACAAAAACAATGCATGCCAAGTAGTTCATAAAAATGATTAGAAATGCAGTGATGTCATCTGAAAAAGTCATAAGTTCAACACTAAATAGAAAACTGAACTATTTACTTGCAACATTTGACTCCAACAATAAAAATAATATAATAAAAAAATGCATAATAATAAACAGAATGAAATATACAAGTATATACAGATATTAAAATACCTATCACCATTTAACAGAATGTTTGCAATGAATAACATATGTATCTTAATAGCAGAGATGATCTGCTCAGCACTACGTAATCGTCAAATCTGTCAAATCAATGATAGGTAGGCATGCTATAAGACTGTGTTTGCCCTATAATGACTTTTATTGTAGTCGTAGCTCTGAGGATGAGCAGGTAACTGTGCTCCATCTTATGTGACTTTGCCTATCTTTAGCTAAGAAAAGATTTAAAATTGTTAGGGCTTCCTTTTTTACCGACCTGATTGAGCTGTCATCCTGCGAAATTAGGGATGACAGCTGAATCAATGTATGAACTCAAGTGGTCATTTTTGGCTACGAGACCGCTACTCCAACCTAACCTAACATAGTAGCAAATGAATATATTATTGGCAGAAATAATAAGGCTAGAATTGATTTTAATCAGCTTACAAAGATATGGAACAATTCTATTCAGCTTACACGAAGACAATTCTATTTTATGTAGATCAAACCTGGAAGAGTACCATTAAAATCCAGTCAAAAATTCAAATTTTTAAAACCAATGTCTACAAAGAATCTTGCGCATTTGGTGATCTCCGATAATATTAAATTTTAATCTGTAGACTCAGACAAGCGAAGCTAGAGCAACTACTATTAATGCGAAAATACTACACTAAACATGTGTTCCATTATGATAATATTATTAATCTTCTGAACAATAGGAATAAATATAAAAACATATAAAATTTTGTCTGGTAGAGTACAGAGCGATAGTGATGATTAGTCACCGCTCCTACTTTTTCCTTCTAGTCCACACCTTTAATCTTACACTCAATAATTAACTCACTTCTGATACTGAACGAGATGTGTAGAACCATTTTAGAATGCAAATGATGGTTTCAAAACTATAGGGAACACTAAAGAAGTAGAACTTCAACTACAAAAGTCCAACTGGAAGAGCTTAGACTAAATCAAGTTAACAATAAATATTAAAGGATGCAAAAATGTTTGCTTATACCAAGGAGGTTTACCTACAGTTCAATATTCTATGTTATAGTGATATTATTTTAAGAAAATCCTGGATACAGGTATCTCCATACAAGATATATTTTTATTTTGCAATTAAAACATTTTATTTGCTTCTAAACGAACATGACTTTTTAATGACCATGTGTCAGTCTTCAAAATACTCTTAAGATGTCAAGCACGCAATTGTTTTGACTCAATTGTCACCTCTCGCACGATTCTGTAAATTGGCAAATTGCGCCGCAAA